ACTAATTCACAAAATGAATTCAGTGCTTGAAATGTAGCTGTGCTCGTGAATCGAAAATCAAAGGTGTATACGGGAGTATATTGATACGATGCGGAAAGATAATCGAACCACTGGTTGCTGACAAAAACACTATTGCAAACTGGATGAAATGTGTATTGAAAATGAAGAAACTTATCATAACTGATTGATATTTTTGTGCATGGGCATGTCAACGTTTGTGGATATGTTGCATACAGTTGCGAATATTGTGTGATAGTAGGTGCATGAATGTTGACAGTTTTTGTAACATTTATCAATGAAGTATACAAAATAAGTATGAGCAACGATGCGGTTAATAAAACGATGAATAATCTTGTTGATATTTTTTGATTCTGAAGTTGATGTTGATGGTTCGAGGGTGGAACCGATGGGAAAAAATTAAGGTGTTGGAAAAAGAGTATAAATTCTTGTTTTAATATTTGCATTCGCTCTTTCACGTTCATCTCTATAGAAAAAATCATAGAAATGGAATGATGTGGGATGAAAATAAAGGCGTAATTCGAAGTAACATATAAAGTCAGTCTTTTGTAATGGCGCTTCATTTGAACTAATGATGTTGGGAGAGAGTAATCAAAGTAGTTGTGATGTGGAAATACTGAGTGCTCGATTTGTATTTTTTTGTCTAATTCTTCAAACAATGGAGATGACTTATCGTTTACAATGCAAACTATTTTCGTATCAATGTTAACTTGATCACTCTCTCTTTTGACATGATATTTTGTTATGAATGTAGCCCGTGATTTTTCGAAATTCATTAGAAAAATTTATTTCTAACACTCATTGCTACATATAAATAGTTTTAATTTTTAATAAAGCTCAGTCTAGTACACGACAGACCAAAAATACAAAACATACGATTGACATTTCGCGGTTTACTATTTCTCATGATTGTGATTATTTTTTATTGTCACTCCACAGTGTCATGTGATAGACAGCAACACAAACTATAATCTTTACTTTATGTACTTGTTATAGTCAGTTCTATTTTCTTTGTACATTTCGAATTGCTTATTTTCAATCAGGAATATATATCAAGTCCTACATGCACAGTATAAGCAAAACTAAAAAAATAAATTACGATTGCCATCTGAACGTAATAATTCTTAATTCTTCTCAGATTATCTTATTATGCTGTCGTTACTCATCCATGCATGGATTATTTTGGAATCGGTAAAGCTACTTCGATGTTTTATGGATACGCTTTGAAAGACTCTTATGCCAATATTATTTGTAACAAGTGAATATGTTCCACGCTATTATGCAATGTAAGCCTCGATTTAAAGTTATTAAAGGTCTACTCCTTATTGATGAAAATGGCACTGCACAAAACTAACTCTGATTCTTCAATAAGATCTTACTCCTGTCGTTATGTACAGAAAGAATTTAATAAAAATAGTTTCAATGAATAGTGAAGCACTTTGAGGGTGTGGGTGTCGATAAGGGATGAATATCAACGATGGTGAGCGCAACACTCGCATTCTCATCGTCATCCACACCTACACCGTAAAAAACATTCACTCATCCCTCACCCACACCCATAGCTAAAGTAGAGCATGAGTATAACCGGTTAAGAGTAAGAATATAATGGTATAAGGAAGCAGCGATATGAAGGACTATAGTATATCAGGATATTGTCTTAATATTTATCTACATATACAATGTGACTTATTGATTGTTTAGTATCGAGTCAACATAAAAATAGAAGTATAAACTTGTATTTGGAAGAAAACCAGCCGAGTAGTATGCACGGGTTCCCACTAGTATGTATATAAATGATTATTTACGAGATTCTCTTACCTGGCTGTGGCTCTTCCAGTTGTTTTTTTCTTCTAACAGACTTGACAATTCGAGGCACCATCAATTTCAAAACTGTTATTAAACCACCAACTACTCCAATTAATGTCGTGATAATATATATTGCACTATTCTTTGTATCAACAGTATAACTGCATTGTGATGGTTGACATTCACTATAATAACTCTCATACATTATCGATGAGTTCCATGTTTCAATCATTAATTCATCCATCAACTCTTGAACTGTTGAGTTTTCCATAAACTGAACTAACAATGATTTGTCAAGTGCTGATACATTCATTTGTGAAAATAATGCTAAAAATGGTTGAAGTTCATCTATACAGCTCTGATTATAAAAACAACGCAGATCAGATTGAAGTAATGATTCAATTACATAACATCCAGTATAAATACCTGGCACGTACAAATATACTGTATTACTATAAACGTCTATAATGCTAGATTGAGATATGCATGTAGCTGAAGATCCACAACTACAATTACCATATGACCGTGGATTTGTAAATGTATACATATTACCGCTTGATTGATAAAGATAATAATTAGTTAGCTGTGAAGTGAGCAAAGCATTACTTTGAGTTGTTTTTCTTATTGTTGAAAATGATAAGGTAAA